CAAAGCAGATGTTGGATTAACCCCTACGAGGAGATTAATAAAGATGGTATCCAGCCCGGAGTCAAGAGATGCCATGCAGAACACCTTGGTGGGGGAAGTAGAAAACTTCCAAGACCTAATGAACGTGAAAGATTTTCAGGAGGTAGAAGGATGCCTGTTAATGCAGCTTAGGTATTTGGGGGGTCTAAAGATGCTTCTTGAATTTGCAAATACAACGGAAAAGGATGAGTTCATGAACAATGGGAAGGAGATATGGAATTCGTGGTTTAAAGAGGTCATTAACTTGGACGTGAAAGGAAATTTTAACGAAAGAATTGCATCGATAATCATTCAAGGGGTGCCCCAACATGCATGGTGTGAGGAAGCCTTCAACATTATTGCAAGATCGTGGGGGACGGTGGTAATCCCAGAAGAATGCAATACAGATTCTCCTAATCTGGCATTTGGGAGGGTTGGAATCCTCACATCCCACCCGGGAATCATCAGCTCTTCCATCAAAATCATGGTGGACGGAAAATCTTATCAGATTAATGTCATGGAGGATATTTTCGAGTCCCTGAAACTTAGTATGGTTCTTGCTGCAAACGAATTCTACCAAAGGATGTCATGGTGGGATGACGATAGTAAAAGTGAAAATGGCAGCCTCAACAGCGAAGTTCCGATCCATTCCGAAGCTAGTCTACAGTCTCTGAGAATATCACCAGTGAAGCCTCAGCAAGCGCCGGATATATCTCCGGTGATGTCAGGGCAAGCATGGAATCAGGATGGGGAAGTGGAAATGTCGCATAGTTCGGGGACCAAGAAAACTCCTCGATCTTCTAAACTCGTGGGGAATCGTAGAGAAGTTGTATCGCCATTGCACTCGGGTGTAGGCCACGATACATCCGGATCCTGTGCCTCTCTGGGCCGTTATAAAGGTCGGGCCCAATCTCCTCCCATTATGAAAATCCCCCAGGCCAATTTTTCGTTGGACCTAAATAGAGCCCCATCTCTTTCAACTCCATCTGAATCCATTAACTTATGCTCTGATCGTAACCAAACAAGTAATGCCTCCTCCCCCAGCCTGAAGCTTCGTAGACCCAGCCGGTTGAGTCAAATGCTACTTCTGTGGAGGTAATCAAGACCATCACTGTTGTAGAATCAGTTGGTTTTCACGTAAGCAATCATTCTGACCAAATTAGACGGATGATTAAAGCTCGTGGTGTGACTATAATTGATCAATGAATATCTTCTCTAATAATGTTCGTGGAATCGGGTGGGATGTAAAACGGGGCTGGCTCAGAGACTGTTGTATCTAAAACCATTCTTTTTTTTTATGGGGTTACTGGAAACAAAATCCAAGGATATAAAAAATAACCTCGATAGACAAATTTGGGGCTCACCAAATTTCAAATGTGAGGTTATTGACCCGTAAGGGCTCTCTGGTGGAATTGCTTCTTTTTGGGATCCATCTCTCTTCCAAGCCACTGAATCAATTAAAGGTGAAGGCTTCCTTGCAATTAAAGGTGTGTGGCTGGGATTGAGGGAGACTTGCTGTTTTGTAAATGTGTATGCCCCTCAGAAGCCTCTGAAGAAAAGATCTTTGTGGAATAACCTGGTCGATCTAGTAAATTCAGATTCGGAAGCTTGCTGGTTCATCTTTGGAGACTTTAATGTTGTCCGGCTTCCGGAGGAAAGACTAGGCTCCGTGTTCTGTCAGCGCAGTGCCTTTTACTTCAATGAGTTTATTCACTCTCTAGGTTTATTAGAAATTAAAATGGGGGGGGGGGGGGCGTAGATTCACATACATGAACGCTTCTGGTGACAAGCACAACAAGCTTGATAGATTTCTTGTCTCTATCAACTCCATCAAATCCTGGCCGAATGTAAATGTCATTGCTTTGCCTAAAGTGCATTCAGATCACTGTGCAATAATCTTATCTGCCTCTCAGTTTGATTTTGGTCCAACTCCATTCAGATTCTACAATTCTTGGCTTGAGGATCCCGATTTCGTGAAAATTTTAAGGATTGGTTGGTCAGTCAGTAATAGCTCAAGACACCAACTGTATCTATCCCCACTCTCCCTGGTTGCAAATAAATTAAAGAACTTAAAGGAACATATTAAAGCTTGGAGAAAGGAGGTGATCGGGAAAACCAGAAAGGAATTGGATGAGCTTACAACCCAAATAAACGACATTGACCTCTTGGCTGAGAAGGGGCTGATAAATAATGATTTGCTTAAAAGTCGACAGAACGCTTATCAAAAAATCATTGAAATTGAATCTGGGCGCATTGAGGACCTAAAGCAAAAGTCTAGAACCAAATGGGCTCTAGAAGGTGACGAGAACAATGCATTTTTTTCACGGGCTGATTAATAAGCACAAAAGATCTCAGCGAATAAATGGTATTAAGGAAAACGGCTTTTGGATCACTGATCCTGTAGACATCAAGGAGAGGGTAGTAAATCACTTTGCCGATAGATTTGCGGAGCCTATTAAATTGCGCCCTAAATTCATCAATTCAAAATTCATGAAACTGCCGCCCTACGCCATTGAGTCCTTGGAAGATCCTTTCTCCCTTGATGAAATCAAATCAATAATCTGGGAGTGTGGTTCGGACAGGGCTCCCGATACTGATGGATTCTCTTTCGCTTTTCTAAAGAAACACTGGGAGGAAATTGGTGGTGATTTCTACCTAGAAGTGAAGCATTTTGAAGCTAGAGGGCTCATTGAAAAAGGATGTAACTCATCCTTTATCACGCTTGCTCCAAAGGTCCAAGAACCGATCATGTTAAACGATTTCCGCCCTATCAGCCTGATCAGATGTTTATATAAAACAATTTCAAGGGTCCTAGCTGAGCGGTTGAAAAGGGTGATTCAGCATGTGGTAAGCAAAGAACAAACAACTTTCATTAAAGATAGGAATATCCTAGACGGCCCTCTAATCCTCAATGAAGTCATTAGCTGGTTAAAGAAGAACAAAAAGAAAGCGTTCACATTTAAAGTCGACTTTGAAAAAGCTTTTGATTGTATTGATTGGGAATTCTTGGATTCAATCATGCAACAAATGGATTTTGGGGATAAATGGCGAGCAGGATTCGAGGATGTTCAGCATCAGCAAGGGTCTCGGTTATTATTAATGGTGCAGCAACAAAAGAATTCGGTATGGAACGGGGTGTTCGGCAGAGGGATCCATTGTACCCATTTTTGTTTATCATAGTTGCTGAAGGACTCCATGTAGCACTAGAATCAGCGAAAGAAAAGGGTGTTTTAATGGTATCCAACTCCCCCACTGTGGTCCAACAATCTTGCACCTTCAGTATGTCGATGACGTGATATTTATGGGCTCATGGTCATTAGAAAACACGAAAAACCTGATCAGAATACTACGATGTTATGAGCTGTCATCGGGGCTCAAGATTAATATGTCAAAGAGTAAAATATATGGGTCCAGTGTCCAAAACTGTGAGCTGGAATTGGTGGCCCGTAGCTTTAATTGCTCGATTGGTTCACTCCCTCTTACCTATTTAGGTCTTCCAGTTGGTGTTTCGATGGTCCGAGAAACTCATTGGAAGCCTATCATCGAAAAATTCCAGGCGAAACTGTCTAGATGGAAAGCCTCTACCTTGTCGTTTCGGGGTAGATTGACCCTATGCAAATCTGTTCTAAGTAGCCTTGGCTCATTTTATTTCTCAATATACAAGGCCCCTGCAAAGGTACTTAAAATCCTGGAACGAATTCAGATGAAATTTTTTTGGGGTGGGTGCATGGAAGCAAGGAAATTGGCCTGGGTCGCTTGGGACAAAATTCTCGCAGCCAAAGAAAGAGGGGGGCTCGGTGTTGGCAGTTTGAAAGCACAAAACCTTGCTCTCATGGGTAAATGGTGGTGGTGTTTCAGAAAACAGCCGGACAACATATGGGCTTTGGTAATTCAAGCCATTCATGGATTCAATGGTGGCGTGTCCCATCCTAAGGCTGCAAAAAGAAGAAGCAGTTGCTGGGGCTCAATAGCATGCCTGCCAGCGACTTTAGACAAGGATCAGGTGCCATTCTTATCTTACTTCCAGAATACATTAAAATACAGACGATTCATACAAATGGTCATGGTCACTTGACCCCTCGGGTGATTATTCTGTCTCCTCATTGCGGAACCACATAGATAATCGGTCCCTACCTCATAGTAATGCTAGTTGGAATTGGAACCCGCTTGTGCCGGGTAAGGTAAACATACTAGCCTGGAGAGTCTGCCATGGTAGACTTCCATGCATGGAGAGCCTATGGAAGCTTGGTATCAACTCTTCAGATTTGTGTCAAATGTGTCAAGAAGCCTCAGAAATGGTAGATCACATCTTTGTGGGATGCCCGATCTCAAAGGAAGCTTGGACGCATGTATGCAGTTGGTGGCGATAAATGGGAAATTCACCAAGCACTTGTAGTGAGTTGTTAAATTGTAATCACTCGCTAGGAGGTCATCATAGGCTGAAGCTAATTTATGAGGCTATAATGTTGGTTTTCTTATGGGTAATTTGGAGATACAGGAACAACAAGGCTCATTGCATGAACTCAAACTCCTTTTCAAAATCGGCTTTGGCATTCGAGGTACAAACCTATTCACACCTTTGGATCAATGAGAGGAATCGGAAGGGACGGAAACTACGATGGCTCGAGTGGTGTTGCGACCCAATCTTGGAATGCTATGGTAGGATGTAGCTCCTATTTTCTATTTAGTTCCATTTTCATTTTCATTCTTATTTTCCTTTTCCGATTTCATTCCCATTTGTCTCTTTGTTTATTTTGTTTTGTTTTTCCGGGACTATTTGTACCTCCTAGCCCCTAGCTAGTTTTTATTTTATATATGCCTGCCATTCTAAAAAAAAAAATAAAAAATAAAAAAAAAATTCACATATGTATATTTAGTTTGACATTTGTAAAATATATTATAAAACAATATAATTTATATTCTGTTATATATAATATTTATTTTATATCATACTTTAAATAAAATGACAGTTTTCCATTTAATTATATAATATAAATAAAAATTTCATTGTATTTTAATGAAACGTTACACAATCTGTTTCATCAAGGGATATTACTCTTTTTATTTATAAATATACACTTATTTATAGTAAAAAAATTGACTTTTAATAATAATCAAAGGATATTACTTACGTAAATTTATATTTTTTTCTGAAACAGATGAAAATTGCGATTTTGTACCATTAGAATTAATTTACAAAACTCGTATACCCGTTATGAAAGGTTACATAATAATATTAAAACTACTTAAGTATAAATAGTGGTTCTTTAAAATCTGTAGGTATTATTATTAACTATGCTATTGCTATTGGTATTTTTATCAAGTATACTATCATAACAGTATCCACAACACATAAAAAATGCAACTTATATATGTTTTTCAATTTTGAAATGATCAATAAATATATATTTTGTATACACTTCAGAACATTGTAGAAGAACACTATCTGGAAACCAACAGCAAGTGATGCACGCTTATAACCAAGGTAATACAAAATATCCTATATTATATATATATATCCTATATATTAATATATATATATATATATTATATATATATATATATATATATATTATATATATATATATATATATATATATATATATATTTTTTTTTTGAGTGTTGATTCAAGATTAGAAGAATAAAAAAGTTGTTGTTTGTTTATTTTTTTGCTGAGAAAATTCGGGTTTACAAAGATTTATATGATGCTATTGAAGAAGAAGAAAAAGGGAGAAGAAAATTTTTGGTCTAGAAATTGTTGAAGATTTTGTCTGAGGCAGCTTATTTATGCTTTCAAAATGAGACAAAATTTTGGATTTATTATTGAAGAAAGTGGAGATATTTCTATGAAGATTTTTACCCAACAGTTTCTTAAGTTCATCATAAAAAGGTATGATGTTTATGTCTTTCATCTTTAAATTGTTGTTGTGAATCTTTAGTATAGAAGATTTTGGACATTTAATTGGTTTTCAAAAAGACACTTATCCTTTTTACTCTTTTTGGAAAGAGTACTTCACACTTTTTTCCCTCAAAGACAAAAACCATGTGACTTTGACCAATCTCATCACCTTTTGTCCCTTAATTGCCATGTACACTCAA